TGTGCCTGTGGTGTTTGAATGGTTGTCTACCTACTGCCAAACACAGCGATTCACAGCAGAGTTTTCTGCCTTCCCCTTCCGTAGGCACACAAACCTGTGCATTTTCTCCCTTCCTGGCTTCCAGTTTCAGCAACTGGTTGTGAGACTTCATCCCCTCTGTCAAATAAAATTGAAATTGGGCAATGGATTCAGAAGTCGACTATAGAGAAATGGGAATCGATTTCAACAATCAACCTTGTTTTCTTACCAAAACATTTTGGAAAAGTTGTTGGCGTGAAAGCCACTGATTATAGCATGGAAAAATACGCGCTTTTCCCTGTAATATAAGAACGTATTAAATAATCTTCATTCTTGCAGATCTGAGTAAATTATGGCGAGTTAAATAGTTGATAAATGATCAGTGTTTCTGTATTGTCTTTAGGCAATTTTTCGAGAAGGAAGTTAGTACTAAAATATGTAATTCTTCCACCTATCACTCAACAGTAGTAGTGTAGAACTGTGAAGCAGTCCATATGCAAACAGATTTCATTTTCAAGGGCAACAGGTCTTTCAGGGCTGGATCTTTGTAAAAATTCATAGCCAGGATGTCACTGTAGCTTAGCCAGTATGTTCTGCTTTTGATTTGTAGAATGAAAACTTCTGGAATGTTTTCATTAAAACTTAGGAAGGGTATTTTTTGCCTCTGAGGGTATAAACATAGGATCTTAAAATATCTGGTACTACTGATGAGAAAAACTTTTCAAAGTAATGTAAAGTGACTTGTTTGTGTGTCACAAGAGCCAAAGAGTGAAACATGATTTTGGGGACATGTTGTGCTTAGTATTGGAAATAATTATTATAATTAACTGTTGATGGGATTCCCTTATAAGGAACTTTCTATGCATGGTATACATCAAAATACAATTCATAAGGCTGGGGTGAGGGATATATTTTGGCACGTATGATGAAATATCAGCTTGGGCAGCTGAAGTATGTTTTTGTTAGATGTTTGTCACGTTTTCAGCTTTGCTGCCTGAAGGAGGTATGTTACTTTTTTTTCCCTAGATACAAATACATGGACTATTTGAACTTCTAAAGTTTTCTGGATACTGGAAATGAATGACATGCTAAGTTAGAGGATGCATGGGATTTGTATATACAGGATTGAAATCTTGCATTTTTAACTGTTTATAGAACAACAGTCTCAGTGAAAAATTAAAATTATTTTGAAGATGAGGGGTGGGTTTTTTGGTCATCTCTCCAATGCAGGTAACTTTTCTAAGTGTTCTCCTGAAATGACCTGCTCAGAGCATTGGTAAATCACATTTAATGAATAAAAAGTGCTAATATGTAGTAATTGAGAGGCTTTACTTTATTTAAAAGTTCAGTTGAAAGACATGGAGAATTTTCAGTATTGAGTAATGCATTCAGTGACTTATTCTCCAAGATCTTTTCATGAACACATGCACCGAAATAACTAAGGACCTGGAAAATTAAAATGCCAACAGAAATGCACACTATTTGCAATTGGACTATCAAAAAAAAATATTTGCTGGTAGTTGCAGGAGACTTACTTTAAAAAAACCTGGTTTGTGTCACACGAAGCTGTGGAAAGTAGTACATTAACAAGATAATTTGTGGGGAGGGAGGACAACACAAATGATAGTCTTTATTCTTGGATTACATTGAAATTTTGTGGAAAGAACTGCATACTCATAAACCAAAGTAGAACATGTAGTTTGCATTTGAAATAATATGTCTGTGCAGTTGGACGTTACTTTGGTTATATCCTTCCATACCATGGAAATTTTAAGAGTTCTCCCTTGTTATGCTGGCTCCATGAGCTACTAATGCGTTAATAAGAACCTACCATAAAAACATCCCATCTTTAAACTTAAATCTTGAATATTGAAATCACTGATCATTTTGTTGTTGAAAAGCTCTATATGCTATGACATCATATATTTAAACTGAGAACTAACTGCAATAGTTTACTGTAATTCACTGATAGTGAAATCTACTCCTACTTAGTATGTTTTGTAATACTGAGCCCTCAAAATGAAACTTTTCCAGTTCTAGAGTATTGCAGATTATTTAAGAGTTGGTCACATATTATCAGATTTTACAGCCTATATGCGTATCTTATATAATCACGGTGTTACCCATTATCATAGAGTATATGCTCAACGATTGCACAACTGCATATGTCATTTGGCATTAAGAAACTAATTGTGTTGAGCCGTAGATGTTATTCAAGCAGTATGGTCTCTTTATCTGCAAAATACTTTAAAAAAAAAAAAAAAAGTTTAGAACATATGTAAACATGAAGATACACTGTTAAAGTTTTGATTTTCTGTGAGTGTTTAGTTATCATTCATTTATAAAAATCATTGGAATATTTTTTATTAAATAGTGGGTTTGTTCCAAATTAGTTGTATTTATGGATCTTTAAAATTACATTATTATGATACTGAATTAATGTAAAAATCTAGGGTTTTATATTTCCAATATTATGATACTGAATTAATATAAAAATCTAGGGTTTATATTTCCAATATTATGATACTGAATTAATATAAAAATCTACAATCCTACAAAGGGATTTCTCCCAGATTTTTCTTCTACACGCTTTCTCACTTGGAGCGCTCAGGTACCGGATGATTCGAGAAGTCACATAGTACAGGAGTTTATCTGCAGGTTAGGCTTCTTCTGACCTAAAGATGGGCTGTGCAGTCCAGTCACAGTGAAAGGTGGCACTTGTGCTGCAAGAGAGGCAGTAGGCTGGAGCCGGAAGTAATTTAGTCCTCATAAAGCACGTCTCGGGAACTAGGAGAATTCCAGAAGACATGATTTGCCAGATCCATCTACATTAGTGATTTAGCATATTGGAGAGCAGCTTTTTGGTGCCAATTTGCGTAGCATCTAGACTTGGAATCCTGCTGCATGCAATTAAGTGTCATACAGATGTGCTGAAAGCTGTTTCTCTCTTGGTGGAGCCAACACTTGAAGTTGCACACCAGGAGGCCTTTCGGAGTGCCTCACCTGCAGTGTGGACACAAGGGCTTCCAGCAACTGGCTCTGCTTCTGCGTAGCGGTGCTTCTAGGACTGACGTTTGGCACAAACTTCATTGTCAGTAAAGATGCGATGTGGATACCCCTTAATACATCACAGCAAATTGAATCCTGATCCTTCCCTCCATGCGCTTCATCTCTTGCTAAGGTAGATGTTTGGATTGTGCTCGGGTGGCAATGGAGTAACCCTTAGGAGTGAAAGTGTATAATGGGCTGTGATCCAGAGCCTTGGACAGATGTCTTCTAACTTTTTGTCTAATATAATCCTGTATAGTACCAAATATTTGTCTCCCCTGTACATGGAAACGAGGGGATCTCTGTAACTCCCATTGTATGCACCTTATGCCAATAACAGCTGTATCATTCATCTATTCAAAGTAAAACTGTTGTCTGATATTTTTAAGTGTGTGTTGTGTTCCATGTTACCCCTGTTGATGTGTCCTAGGCAACTGGCTTTCATTCAGAAAAGTTTTTGAGTATATGCTGGATGCCATTAGGTGTGTACTTAAAATTCTTGACTGCTTTGGAGTCAGCTATTAGGAGAGACTGCGTAAGAGTGGAATCCTGGTCAAATGCATGATCTGCTTCTCTTCTTTCCCAGAAACAGTTCTCTTAATCTGTTAAAATAACAGTAGGCCATTATGCATTTTTTAATTCTACATTTTCTGGTTTCTTTTCTGTGTGTTCCTTCAAGTGAAGTACTACAAACTTGTACCGTTTAGACCAAAGTTCACTGTTAGCACAGTGAGAGGATGTTGTCATGATTTTCTCTTTCAAGAAAATCTAAGTCATCTTCAGAGAGCAAAGTTGAGCTGAACTGGAAATAAAAAAAGATTACGTATACTTTATAAAACAGTTTAATGTAACTTTTTGATTTGTAGTGAATCAATTTATGTAATACAATATGAATAAAAGCAAGTTTCCCAGGGTTTAATGTTATTCAGAGTAATGCCAACGCTGCTATTTCTGGGGTTTTGTGTTTACTGTTCATAGCGTAGCAGGTAACATTACATTTACACTTTGACAGGAAGAACTATAGAGGGGGTATTGTCAAAGGCAGTGTTTCCCTCTGAGCAAGTTTTTCATTTTCTGTTCTATGTGAAAAACAACATCGGTGATTGTAAATTTGCAAGAGGAGAGGTAGGATTTTAAGTACTCCTAGTGAGAAGTTTTTGGAGCTCTATTTTGGAGTTTCATGGTCTGTTTGATCATCAAGTCTTTGTATCTTTTTCAACTAAAGGGTGTCTTGAATAGGTGCATTTCTTACCCTTATGTCACCTTTCATTTCTCATGAATAACTTCTCAATTTTACTTTTTTTATAATAATTCTTTTGGCATAAAACCAGAGGACTTTGTTTTTTGCTGGTTTTGCAATAGGAGATAGACATATGCGCCTCTACATATGTTTTGGAAAGCATGGTTGTGTTTGAGATGAAAAAAGTCACAGATAAATAAAAGCATTGCAATGGCTACTGTTTTAAGTCATACTTTTTCATGCAGCTAAGAAATTTGTGTTCTGCTGATCTGTGAAATGGACTTCAAAATGCTCTCTCACAGCTTTCTATCTAAATAATTTTTGTTTCAATGTATGCATAATATACTCAGTAAATTTCAGTGGTACAGGTATGTATGTTTTCAGATATAAAGAATGATACTATGAATCTAAATCTCCACATGAAATCTCCAATTAGCATTTGTGCCACAACATCTGCAAGAAAAGACTTACATAAAATTTGCTAAAAGTTTGTGGAATAATCTTTTAACATATTTCTTGATTGTTTTACGTCACTATCAGCAATATTGTCAGATTCCCTTAATTTTTCTTGTATTGTATTTAGATTTTCATTAATTTAAGGTCCAAACCTGTGTAGTATGGCTAAGTATTTCCTTAGTAATCTGTATCTGAATTAAGAGTATTCTGAAAATTATTTTTTTTCTTTTTCCCCAAGGATATGGCCCTTGTTGCTCCTGAAGCACCTTCAGAACAAGCTAGAAGGGTTTTCCAGACATATGACCCCGAGGGTAAGGGCTGTACTTTTTGCTGAAATAAGATTTTTTTTAATTTTTTTTATTGTAATGTACTCATTCAGTAGAGACAAATTCCAAATAGTAATGAATACTGCATTGTGTAAGGTATCTCTTCAAAAATAGGACTGTTATTTTCTAAAATTTGTTCCAAATACTGCACTTTCAAAACCATTGTCCTTTTCATGCCAGGGTAATACGCTGTTTATACCTGAGCTGACTAAGAGAGGAACAAAATACTTAGTACTTAAGAGAAGAAATTTTCGATACAATAGTCAGTCTAAAAGTGACATGAAGAAATTTTCTGAGAATTCTGTAGTGAGGGAAGTTGAGGACAACATTGTGCTATAGGAAGTAGAGTTCTTAGAGCATAAGCTTTCCAGCCTTGTAATGTTCTTTGTAATTAACATAAAGCTTAAATATAATTTGATTTCTCTTATATTACTTTTTCATAAAATAACTGATCTGCTACAATCGCGTTCTCCACGACATTTTGTTCTTGATGTATGTGGCGTATACAGAAAATTTTCTTAAGTTTTGGAAAATAGAGGATGTCTTACATTCAGGTACTATTTTAGCTTATCAAAAGGGAAAAAATGTACAGTTATTATCCTCAGGTATCTAGTGGAGATTGCTATAAAGAGATTGAATTCTTAGCAAGTGTTAAGCTTCCAAGTGTATGAATGATAAACCTGCAGTTTCTGTATTGCACTCCTCTTTTTTTTTTTTTTTTTGACGTGGGAGATAAGTGTTTGAAAACTGTTCTGTCTAGAACCCCACCATTTGTTTGCAAATTTTAGAGATAAAGATATGCAGTATTTGTATTTTTTAGTAAAATGTGTACTCCTGGAAAGCATTTTGTTTCTTTCCCAAGAAGCTTTGCTGCTTCTTCAGATAATGGTTTTATACCTGACACTCTGCTAGAAGATGTAATGAAGGCTCTGGACCTTGTTTCAGATACTGAATAGTAAGTATAAAAAAATTAAATACTACAGAAGTATCAATTAACCACATACTAATTATAATTTAGGATTTTTTTTTCTGGATTCAATTAACCACTTATCAATTATAATTTAGGTTTTTTTCTGGATATTTTTTCTAGCTTGCATTCTGGGCACAGAATGTTATTTTGAAATGTTTAAGTCAGCTTCAGATTAAACGGGAGGAATTCAAATTGAAGTGTCTCTGACTTTGGTAGCAATAACCAGAAGCCAAAGAAACCTTCCAACCTACTGAACTGAACATAGTGAATATATTTCTGTATGTTAATGAGGGTGAAACTGTGTGACAAAAGAGCCAAACAATCAAGGTATTCAGAGGCAGATTAGCATTGGATTACCACTGGATCCTGCTACAGAGTTTGAAGTTGAAACTGCTTCAGTTACGTTTTTGTTTCCACCAACACTCAATACCTTGTAGTGTTTATAATTGTCATTTGTTTCCAGAAATGGCACCTTGATTCCTAGGATTAGAGTTAAAAACATCAAATGAAAAAGGTAGTTTAGTTTAGATCTTATGTGGACAGACAGGACTAATATTTGGTGGCAGCAGTTAACCTTCGGTCTCAAAGCTTACCATGTTTTGCTGCTAAATGCTTAACCCAGAAAGAAGAGCTATGTGCTTGAACTTTTTTATGTCTCCAAAAGATGGTTCTGCTCTGTCGTATGCATATGGTCTAGTTTACTGGGGTCTAAATCAGTTGTTCCTGTAGAATGGCCGTGGAGACTGCAAGTTTACTTACCACAGCCATCTGAAATTTGATTGATGCCATTTTCTGTCCTTTCAAATGTTACAAAGTACAACAAAGTTTAGTGAGCTGTTCTCTGTGAAGAATAGGAGTGAAAATTGAAATCAGAAGACACCCAGGAAACTGAAACCGAAGAAAACACAAGACAAAAAGGCTAGTGTTGGTATTATGTCAGCACGTGGTGAAATCTGCCAAAGATTTTTCTAATGGGAGGGAAAGAAAAAAGCCTTAGTTTAATAGGTTGGAGAAGCTTTCTTTTGACTTTTTTTTTTGTACTGCCTCAATAAATCTGCAAAAATCCTTTTTGTGTATTTCAGCGGTTTTTCTATTTGGCTGTTTGGCCTTCAGGGCCTTTGTGGCGTAGCCATGGCCTGTTTTATTGCGCTTAGCACATCGAGTATGAATTGATGTCGGAAG